AGGGAGTTCACCGTTTCTACCTTATAAGCGGAGTAGATCTGCCCGTCCTCCTCCCGTGGTCTAAGGGGGGAGAGGAAGAAACAGAGGAGAAAGGAAGGGTGATACGCCGCGGCTCCATGCTAAACCTGCAGCGTAGAGGAACAAACCAAAAGGGTAAGTTAGTTAAAAAAAGAAAAGAAAATAAAGAGCAACAACAAGGACAGAATGAACAGCAAAAACTAAAAGCAGAGGAGGAAGGGAGCTCACCATTATTACCTTTGATGGTGCTCTTCCTCCCGTGATCTGCTGGGGAAGGAGAAGTAAGAGAGGAGATAGGAAAGTGATCTAGTCCTCCGCGGCTCTTGTGTACCTGAAACGCACAAGTTGACACCGCCTCGTTGGTCTTCACGAGCGCTCGTTCTTGCGTGCCTGAAAAGCACAAGGAAACACCTCGGCAGATTCTCCCCGAGCTTGTTATTGTACGCGTGAAACGCACAGGTTGAAACCGCCTCTCTGGTCTTTGTCAGAATTACTAGGCAAGAATGATTGAAATGAGAGAGAGGTTGAACTAGCAGGCAGTTGAGTACAAATAGCAAACCCTAGATTGGGCTGTACTCGCTATAGAGTACCCCACTGCAGGCTAGACAATAATAGCATTCTGACACACCCCCATAGCCAAAGTGGGGTGTAATCAGCAGAGCAAGCAAAGCAGTACAAGCTCAGGGTGGATCACAATGTCACCACACATTCTGAGCACAAGTTCAAGAAGCAATAGTTTAAAGTTCACAGTTATGAGCAAAGCTAGAGGCAGTCACAGAGGGCAAGCGAGGAGGAGGAGGGCTGGCGAGAGGAGAGAAGATGAAAGGCGCCGACTGAAGCTGCAGACACACGGGCAACAGGAGCGGCGCGCACAGTGGCTACCGAGCGCACGAGGGCACCGGACTACGGGAGTATCTGGCTCCGCGGCTACGACGAGCACACACAGGAGCAACGGACCCACAGGCGACTGGCGAAGCAGGCTCGCTGGGCTACCGAAACGCGCGAGGGCATCCGGACTACTGGCGCTGCTGGCGTCACGACGGCTACCTCCACGCAATCTCCCCCGACCGTCCCACGCCCCTCTCACACACCCCCTGCTGACACCCTAGCTCCACTCCGACGGTACCCCCCTTAAACCCCAAACCCTAGGCTCCCACACACCACCCCCCTCAGCGGCAGCTGTAGCAGAGGGAGACGAGGGAGGAGGAGGAGCAGGGGGAGGAACTCACAACCGACACCCCCATAGCCGCCACCCCCACACTCTTCACCCCCAAACCCTAATTTAGGAGAACGGGCTGTAGGAGGGGTGAGGCGCCGGTAGAAGCACGGGGGACAGTGGAGAGGGCAGGAGCAGCGAGGAACGGGCCGCCCACGGGCCTGGTAGAGCCGCCCGAACCGCGCGCAGGCGGCGCGCAGGCGGCCCGAGCCGCGCGCGGGCCTGGCGCTTCCCGTACGGGCCGCGCGCGTGCCTGGCGCAGCCCGTACGGGCCGCGCGCGGGCCTGGCGCAGCCCGTACGGGCCGCGTGCCGGGTGTACGGGCCGCGTGCAGGCCACGACGGGCGACGGGGGGCGACGCGCGGGTCCCCGTCGCCCGTCGCAGCGCCTCCCGGGGGCGACGTGCCGAGTGACGGGGCAGGAACCCGCCGCGCGCCTCGGGGCACACGGCGGGCAGAGAACCGCCGCGCGCCTCGGGGCGCACGGCGGGCAGAAAACCGCCGCGTGCCTCGGGGCGCACGGCGGGCTGAAAACCCTAGTTTCGACGCCGCGCGCCACGGGGCGCGCGGCGGACAGGGAGTAGCAGTAGCAGTAGCAGTAGCAGCGGAAGGCTTAGGTGGTGGGCCCACCCACAGGATCGACCCAGGAGGGTCGACCTGCTCTGATACCATGTCAGAATCACTAGGCAAGAATGATTGAAAGGAGAGAGAGGTTTGAACTAGCAGGCAGTTGAGTACAAATAGCAAACCCTAGATTGGGCTGTACTCGCTATAGAGTACCCCACTGCAGGCTAGACAATAATAGCATTCTGACAGTCTTCGCGTAGCTGAAAGGCACAAGGAAACACCTCTGGCAGGCACTCCTCGAGCTTGTCAGTGATTAACTTAAACGCACAAGTCGAAAACACCTCTTTGGTCTTCACGCGCGCGCGTTCTTGTGTAGCCTGAAAGGCACGATGGAAACGCCTCGGGACGATTCTCGTGTTGAGCTCGTTGAGCCGTGGAGTGGCGCTGTCGTTGTCGAGTCTTCGGGTGTTGTGAGACTGAAGCTCACAACACTGCTGATTATGAAGTTGCGAGGGACAACGTGGGCTGGATGGAAGTAGTGGCCTCGAATCGCGTGGTTGGAAATACTGTAGCGTGGCATGAATGACAAGTTGATGAAGCGCCAAAATCCGGTCAGAACAGTGAAGGGTGGCAGGGAGGGAAGGTTGACCAGTTGACACAGAAGAATCAAAACAATGGTGCCAGGGAGGGAAGGCTGCACTGCACACATCCCCCATGTTACCGAATGCGCCAAAATTTGGTGACAGTCAGAACACTGTAGCATAATTACGCAAGGAAAAGGAGTGGAAACGGGAAGAGAGGAGAAAAGGAGGAATAACGTGAGTAGAAAAAAGGAGAGAGGAAGAAAGAAGGAGGGGAATAGGGGAAAAATGATAGGAGGAAGAAAAACAGGGAAGAAGGAAGAAAAAGCAGCACACACAACCCCAAGAAAACCCCAATAGCACACACATTTAAAACACCATCAAGCCCTCCCATCAAAGCACCCCAACTGCACTCCCATCGAACCAAACCTCCCCCCCTAAACCCACTCCCTAAACCCGCATGTCTACCAAGTATGGTGCATCCGCCCACGGAGCATCCCATCCCATCTCCTCCTCAACATCCTCCCGCTCCACCCAAACAGCCTCTGGGCCTCTCATCATCGACGCCGCGCGTAACAAGATCACACGCGCCTGAGCCCGTTGCAAAGCCACACCCACAGCCGCTTTGAGCGATCCGAGCAAATAAGCCGAGAAACCCTTTCCCGTAGCTCGCGCCGCCCCTTTCGTCTTTGCTATCTCGATCTGCGCGTCACCCTGCTTCTTAAGCCACCGTCCAAAACTCCCCCCCAAGCATCCCCATGTCTCAGCAATGAGTGGTGTGAACTGCACTCCCCCATGCCGCTGTAGAAGCGATTTGTAGTCCGCCGTCTTCCGCTTTTCTCTCTCTCTCGCGGCAAAACCCACCTTGCGACCAATCTGTCCATGGTGCTGCGCGGATAGCGAGATAGGATCTACCACACTAACCTCCAGCGCGTGCTCCTCCCCCTCCCTCAGTTTCCGAACCGCCACATCAACCCTCTTCCCTGGGAGCAACGTGTCGTCTTCCATGGTCACAATCCCACCCGCACCCTTAGCTATCTTCGCCACCACAAATTTAACCGCATCGTGAACCCGAGAAGGTGCATACTGATACTTGCAGCGAAGGGCATGATGCGGGTCAGAGGGATCAGCAAACTCAAACCCACACGCGCACTTGCCGGCCACTATCAGCTGCTGAATAGGGAGGCCTAGGCGCATGGACGCGCAGATGCTCCACTCGGCTGCGGTGAAGGTAGCCTCCTCGTGCGAAGGAACGGCAGAAACCCACGCCCCAGCCCCCGGGCCCTGAAGGGATGTCAAACGGGCCAGGGTGGCATCGTTGTGGGCCATGCCTCGAAGAGATTGGAGGCTCTCAACCGCCAGACGACGGCGTTGTGTGGGGAAGAGCAGCATAGGCGGATCAGCGGTGCACAAGGCAAGGGGTGGCATCTCCTGCCGAACCGACTGTGGAAGCAGATCCACTGCTCTCGCAAACCAGGGGTCCAACAAGGTCGTAGCCTCGGGCGTGCGGAAAAACTCCTCAAACATCCGCTCCTCACCTGCCACCCCCAACCGAGCCACATCGCTCACTGCTTGGCACCAGCCACATGCATACGACAGAGGACTAAGGTCAGCCGCAGATCGAATGCCGAACCCCCCGAGTCTGGCAGGAAGGTGCAGCTGTAAACGAGCCATCTGGGACTTCCCCGAATCGTGATCCCAGGTACTATCTGGAAACAGCTCCTCGAAACAATCTTCCAGCTTCGTGTCCCAGTCCCGAAAAGCCTCCACAACCTCAGGTCGTGGAGGCATCGTCCGTGTGAGGTAGATCGGGCGCGCCGACACTGCGATCGCCAACAAATGGGACGCAATCTGTGGGTGGTCAAGCAGAGGAAGCCAGGGGAACAGTCAGAACACTGGTGCCAGGTTGGGAACAGTGCTGACATCCCCCATTGTGGGTGCTCTTGTGTTGTGTAACAATTTTGTGGTTATTTTACGTTCAATTGACTAAGATAAGGTTTCTCGATCACCAGCTTCGAAGTCACGGGGAGGTCCTTCTTGGTTGACGTGTTAGTAGCATATAGCCTAAGGCCTAGCCCTTTGCGTGGGGTGCGGGACGGCATCGGTGCAAAAAAAGGACCTCATTTGTTGTAATTAATTTTGCTCGTGACACATCAGTTTCTGGGCAGGTGCAGAGGAAGGGGTTGGGATGGAGAAGATTGCGAGGCCCAATCAAAATCCGAGAGGGGAAGGGAAGGAAATCGAGGGAAAGATATTCGGGCAGAATGGAATCCCGAGGGAACTGATGGGGATGGTGTTTCGGTTGGTACACCACCACCTCCTCAGATCTAGGTTTTCCAATTCGCCACACCTTCTCCACTCAGATGTTGTTCACCTTGTTTCAATGTCCACGCCACGTCTCTCGTTCAATCGCCTTTCGCCTGGTCATAACAAGCTAGTTCTTAATTCCGCCATCCGTCGTCGTAGCTTTGCGCCTTAGCGATAGTAGTGCGGCGAATGGTAGTTAGGATCTGCGACTCTGCTGACTGTTTATTCCGGAACGCGCGATTAATATATGTCGATTTCGTACAGTCAAGCTTTCACCAAGCATCTCCAATCTATGGAGCCAAGCTTTCGCCGGATGGGCGTTACGTAGCATACTCATTGAGCGGTCGCATTATTATTCTTGAAGCTGATTTCGTGCCTCTATCTACAGCGCGGGCATCTCTATGTTTCTTTGACGGGCGTTTTCTTTACTAATGCACGCTGGTGACGCGTAACTCAAGGTAAGACTTCGTTCTTTCCTTCCCACCCCCTTTCCCCCCTCTCCCTCTCCCTCGTCCTTTCGACGACCTCGCCCTCCGCTCCAACTTCCCTCATACCCCCTTCCCTCATCCCCCCGTCGCTCATCCCCCCGTCGCTCATCCCCCCGTCGCTCATCCCCCCGTCGCTCATCCCCCCGTCGCTCATCCCCCCGTCGCTCATCTCCCCGTCGCTCATCCCCCCGTCGCTCATCCCCCCGTCGCTCATCCCCCCGTCGCTCATCTCCCCGTCGCTCATCCCCCCGTCGCTGTCGCTCATCTCCCCGTCGCTCATCCCTCACACGATTCCCTAATCACCCCTCGTTCCGATTTACCTCCCTTATCCCCATTTTCACCCCTCATTCCTCCTGCGGTCCCGGTCATTTCCATCTCGCTTTCCAGCCATTTACCTTTCACCGCTCAACCGCTATTCCCTCCCCCCTCCCTTCTCCCCCCCCCCATCCCCACGCTTACCTCACACTTCCCGTCTCTCACCCCTCATTCCCCGTCGCTGAACCTTTATCCTTCTGTCACCCCTCACTTCCCCCCGCCGCTCAACCGTTTTTCCTCGGTCACCCCTCATTCCCTCGTCGGTCACCCCTCATTCGTCGCTCACCCGTCGCTCACCCCCCGTCGCTCACCCCTCATTTCCCGCTTTCGCTCACCCCTCGATTTTTCCCCGTCGCACACCCCTGTCCCCCGTCGCGCATCCCTCATTTCCCCGTCGCTCATCCCTTGTTTCCCGCGTTCGCTCATCCCTCATTTCCCCCCGTCGCTCATCCCTCATATCCCCCGTCGCTCATCCCTCATTTCCTCCCTTCGCTCACCAATCCTTTCCCCCCTTCACTCATCCTTCATTTTCCCCCGTCGCTAACCCCTCGTTTCCTCTTTTCGTCCGCCCCTCATTTCCCCATGGCTCGCCCCTCGTTCCCCCGTCGCGCACCCCTCATTCCCCTGTCGCTCACCCTTGATTTTCCCCCCTCCCGCACCCTTCCGCCCTCATCTCCCCCACGTCCTCCTCCCGCCCCGCCTGTCACCTCTCAGTTCCCTACGCCCCTCACTCCTCGCTCCCCATTATTTCCCGCCAATCCCAACTTACAAGCTCCCCATGCATTTATTCTCACCTTGTTTTCACTACCATACCTCAGCTGCTGTTTCCCCTCGTCCCCTGCACCTGTCTTCCCTCATTTCCCGGGCTCCTCTTCACTTATCCTCTTCCCACTCCCAGCAGCGGCGCCTGATGGGAAAGAGGGAGGCACGAACGGAGGAGACACGGTTGTGAAAGTTGGTAAGATGCCCTTGGCTCTTTCTGTGCTCCGTCTCACGATATTATACAGACACAATTCGCTCCGGCCGCACATACAGACACGATTTCTTGACCACATTTGTTCTTCAACTTCCGTCCCACGCCTGCTATCCTCCTCTAGCACGTCCTGTCCACTCTCTCACCATCTCTCCCCCACCCTTGCCCACTTTCGTCTCACTATCACTCCCATGCCAGTTCCCTCTCTTGCCTCCTTCGATTCTCTCACTGCCCCTCCTCCACCCTCACCATCTCTTCCCCACCTTAGTCCCACCTTCACTCCCACGCCTGTTCGTCTCCAAGAGTCTTTTCTCCCGCCCCCTTTCATGCACTCAGCGTCTCTCCCCCACCCTCGTCTCCCAACTTCCACCTCTCTACCATCTCTCTCCCACCCTCGACTCCCCACCTCCCACCCCCCCTTCCATCTCTCCCCCGCCCTCGCCTTCCACTTGGCCTTCTCTCCCACGTTCGTGCAGGGGTGGTGGGGGCAGATCTTTCTGGCTCCAATGCTGACCTCACTGCTGACGTCAACGCCACAGGCTGCATTTCCCTTGCAATGTTTCTGTAAGCCTCTCCGTCAATCCCTTCGCCACCCTTCCTTTCTCCTCCCCTCCCTCAACCTTCGTTTCTCCCACTTCTCCCCTCGTTTCACCCCTCACTCTCTCAACCTCTCACACTTCTCCCCTTCCTGTTTCCGTTTCCCCTCCAATTGCCTCTTGTAACCCTTCGCCACTCCATATCCGCATGTCCCATGGCCTAAACCCGCCCCTTCTTGCCCTTCCCCACCCCTTCTTGCCCTTCGTTGTTCCTCCTTGCCCCTCCTTGTGCCTTCTTGCCCCTTCTTTGCCACTCACCCTCTCAGCAACACCACCATTAACGACTACAACATTCGGTACCACGTCATCGTGACTCTGACCAATCCCGGCGAGCCCACCGGCGTCGTCATCAAGAAAGGCGCTGACGTGGCACTCACTGTGACCGCCAGCAGCACCAAGAGCGCTGGTCCATTGCTCCCTAAGTACAGGCACACCACGTGGGGCAAATTACTGGGCAAATCACTGAAACGCTTGGGCAAGTACGCCATGTACTGGCACACCTACGAAACCACTGGCACTTGGCTAAGCGCCAGTACTTTGAAGGTGGATAATGGGCAGACTTACAAGCAGCTAGCAGATGCCATGCTGGCTGCTCCTGACGCTTACTCTGCTCTTGTCTACACCATCGCATACAAGAACGGTGCAGTGAGCGGTACATTTGCCAATACAACCCTGGAAGCAGGTGAAGAACCGTATGGACAGAAAGACACCAATTTGAGCATCAAACTCACAGGGCGCCTTGGTGTGCAGGGGTGAAACGCATGGCAGGTCCCAAACGGTTCAAGATACTGTAGATGTGATTCCTTGCTAGCTGAAGGTTTTCCAAGGGTAGATCTGTGAAACCTACTATGTGTTAGAACATATGCCATACTGATATGACACTTGTTTCACCCCGCTACCTAAACTCCACTGCCCAATGAGCAAATGTCCTTTCACCAGCACCATAGCCTTCCAATCTGACCTCTATCAATGTTGAGTTCTCTTGTGCTCATCAATTTTCCGACTTGATAACAAGTCAATGTTACCATATGGCTCAGGATAGAAGCGTAGCATACAAATTCATGAGCAGCATTCAGCAGTATGAGCAGCATTCAGCATTCAGGATAAGCATTCAATATCCTTCCCGCTTTCAGCAGCGACCAGCCAGCTATGAGTAGATAGTGGTAGCGGTATGCCAATCTGATTCTAACTGCCGCCACTACAAGGCTCACCAGAGCCTGTACCCGCTCCCCCCCCCCCTCCTCTTCCCCTCGTCGCGCCAGAGTGAACCAGAGAACGAATTAGGGGCGATTAACCAATGGACGAAATGGCGAACCAAAGGGTAATTCAAAGGGTGAACCGGAGGGTGAACCAGAGGGTGAACCAGAGGGTGAACCGGAGGGCGAACCAGAGGGTGAACCAGAGGGTGAACCGGAGGGTGAACCGGAGGGTGAAGTGGAGGGCGAACCAGAGGGTGAACCAGAGGGTGAACCTGAGGGTGAACCTGAGAATGCACCAGAGGGTGAACCTGATGGTGAACTATAGGGTGAACCGGAGGGCGAACCAGCAAATGAACCAGAAGGATAGGGCGCACCAGAGGGCAAACCAGAGGGTGAACCAGAGAACGAACCTGAGGGTGAACCAGAGGGAGAATACCAGGACTCACGAGAGGGTAAACCATAGGGTGAATTAGAGAGTGAACCAGACGGTGAACCAGAGAATGAAAAAGAGGGCGCACCAGAAGGTGAACCAGAAAACGAACCAGAGGGTGAACCAAACGGCGCACTAGACGGTGAACCAGAGGGTGAATATGAAGGTGAACCAGAGGGTGAATAAGAGGGCGCACCAGAAGGTGAACCAGAGGGCGCACCAGAAGGTGAACCAGAGGGTGAACCAGAGGGTGCGCCCCCTTTTCCTCCCTTCCCTCCCTTTCCTCCCTTACCGCCCTTTGCTGGTTTTCCTCCAGGGGATCCACCGGAGGGTGAACCAGAAGGTGAACCAGAGGATGAACCCGACGGTGAGCCGGAGGGTGGACCGGAGGGTGAAGCAGAAGGTGAACCAGAGGGTGAACCAGAGGGCGAACCATAGGGCGAACCAGAGGGTGAACCAGAGGGCGAACCAGAGGGTGCGCCCCCTTTTCCTCCATTCGCTCCCTTTCCTCCCTTGCCGCCCTTTGCAGGTTTCCCGCCAGAGGGTGCCCCGGAGGGTGAACCAGAAGGTGAACCAGAAGGCGAACCAGAGGGTGAACCGGAGGGTGAACCGGAGGGTGCGCCTCCTGTTCCTCCCTTCCCACCCTTGCCTCCCTTTCCGGGCTTCCCGCCAGAGGGTGCGCCGGAGGGTGCGCCAGAGGGTGCGCCAGAGGGTGCGCCAGAGGGTGCGCCAGAGGGTGCGCCGGAGGGTGCGCCAGAGGGTGCGCCGGAGGGTGCGCCGGAGGGTGCGCCGGAGGGTGCGCCAGAGGGCGCGCCTCCTTTCCCCCCCTTCCCTCCCTTCACTCCATTCCCACCCTTACCATCCTTTCCGCTCTTTCCGCCCGGAGCTTTCTGTGGTGCGCTGGATGGCGCGCCGTTTCCGCCCGCAGGAGTGCCCTGCTGCTCCCCGCCCGCGGGGGAACCCTGCTGCTCTCCGGTTCCCGGGGAGCCCTGATGCGTTCCGTCGCCCTGGACGGATTCCGTCGGCGCGGTGACGATTCCCGTTTGCGTTGACGAAGGGAGAGGGGATTTGAGGAGGGAGAGGGCCCTGAGGGCGAGGCTGCGCCGATGGGAGTCAATCCGCGAGTACGCTGCGCGGGGAAACGAACAAGTACCAAAAAAAAAAAAAGAAAAAAAAAAAAGAAAAAAAAGACATTGCTTAGTCTGGCAGGCGACGGACTTGCTGGGAGCTACGAGATCGCATTATCCGACACATTTGCCGGGAGCGCGCTTTTTTTCTCTTCCAAGCATTGACAGCTGTTTTCTAAAGGCCGGATCAATGAGCTTTAGCACAGAATGCCAAGCGTTCTGAAGACATTCGGATTCACGAAAAGCTAACATACGCGGAACTCACCAGGCGTGACATATGCTGACGTCAGAACGAGCGCCAACAGAAGCAGCGGCGCGACCGCGCTTCGCCCAATCCACTTCATTGTGGATACCGTCACTGCTGAGTCGCAGAAACTCGCAGGACGTGTAAGCTTTCGAGGACAACAGCTAGCGGTGACCAGACGCAAAAGGGGAAAGGGACAAGGGGAAACACAAGGAGGCAGCCTCTTTGTGTTGTTGAGGAACTAACGAGGCTGTTGGTTGTGACAAATGACGGGTGAATCGTATTTCTGGTTTCGAGCATGGTTGGAGAGGGAAGGTGGCTGGCAGAGATGGGTTTTTGGGCTTGAAATTTCCCGCCAAAGAAACATTTCCACCTGCGAAGAACTGGCGAAACGATTATTGGTTCCGTTGGGCTTCGCAGATGAGCGAAACGCCCCTGCGAAGGCAGAGAAGTTTTCGCTGATGCCTTACGAAAAGATGAACCTTTGCGCAATTCGCGATATCTGCTGCCGATGGTCACGGCGAGAGGCCAGGTGCCTGGACGAGTCGCAGGTCTGGATACACATGAGCCGCGAGACACTCCAGACACTTGTCAAAGTTCAATGACGAGATTAAGCCAGGGTATAGTACAGTACGGACGTTTTGTATGATGCATTGTTATGGCCAATAGCTGGTGTATTTCTGAAAGATGTGAAGCATTCACACGCACTGTTGCAGCAGCTTTGCATATGGATATTTATTACCCCAAAGCGATGTCGAGATTTTGTTATAGTTATTTCCATTCTGATCATACATTTTGTCCTTCACTAACCACCATACTCTCTTTCCAACTCCACTCACTTATCTACCGGTATCCCTTACCGTGTTTTGCCGTGTTATGCTTTATATATCCTATTCTAGCCAAACTTGGAAGCTCCAGGTGCACGTTTCTCAGGCTGTCCCTACGTTTGACTTCAGCTTCCAGAGTGATCTATTCCTGTGCTTGTGTACCAAACTCTGTAGATGGATTCTTCCTGAACTGGAGATTGCAAGCAATGTTGCAATTTTTTACACAGGGACTTCCTATTGACCATGTCGGTACATGCTATACATAGCGCCCATGACTGCACATCTAGATCAATGCAAAACCAGTCTATGCCTGGTGTTGTAAGGCACTCTTAACACTCCAATGCCAACCACAGCAAGGCCATAATCACAGATTATGCACTCAATGTACACATATACTACAAGGACGACAATGCGAAGCTGTTGTGATCCACTATTACGCCTCCTGCGGGAACCTGCTGCTCTCCGCCTGCGGGGTGAGCCTGCTAACGTCTGCCTGGCGGAGGGGGCGGCGGCGGCGGTGGTGCGCTCACGCCTGTTTCCGCACCCCCATTGCTTCCTCCGCCGGGGCGGGGCCCCTTTTGACTGTTTCCACCGGACTGGAGGAGGGTGAGGGCCTTGAGAGCAAGACTTCGCCGACTGGGGACGAACTGCGTATACGCTGCGCAGAGAAAGGAGTGAACTAATATTAGTTTTTCCAGCATCACTGTCTTTGAGAGTAGCGATGCTTTGGCTGGGTAACGGATGAAGAAACTACGGCGAGTCGAACGCGCGATTGACGGATGCGCTTGCAACAGCTCAACAAAGAATGTGGAAAAGGCATCGCTGCGGATGTTGTTGGGGTGGAACATTCGTCGCCCTGAACGCCATGGTAAATAATGCCAGAAATTTACATAAAGAACCGGATTTGCAGTGCTCTGGGATTCAGAACTTACCAGGCGTGACATATGATGACGTCAGAAGCAGCGCCAACAGAAGCAGCGGCAACACCACACTTCGAGCTGTCCAAGCCATTGCGTGACTCTTTGAGTCGCGAAGTCTGAAGGCAATGGTGATCTTGTGCGAAAAGCGGCTGGTGGTGAACAGACGCAAAGTAAGAAACGCAAAGAGGCTGCTGAGGGATTTGCGAAACTGCTGCTGGTGAGAAAGCAAGAGCGAAGAGTGTGTTTTATAGCGTGACGGGGAGGAAAGGGGGCCGGCACAATTAGTTTCTGGAAGCTGTGAACAGATGTTCTCGGCGAGATCAAGCATTTTCGCCAGGTTGAACAAGCGAAGAGAAGGGAAGCAGGTCACTTGCACGAAAATCGGCGACGTGTTTCGCTGATTACCTAATGAAATGAAATCCAGCAGGGAGGGCCCCTGGGACTACGCGATTTGGTTGGGCATGAAGAAAGGCGCGAAATCTCCAGGTGATGGTCACGGTGGTGCCTGGTCGAGTCGCAGGTGCTGCCTGAAAGGACACATGAGCCGCGTAATATGCTAGGGCTGTGGGACGAGCGGGTGATGCGGCATGAAAAATTGACATATTCAGGCTGAAGGAGCTTGGTGAAAGAAAACGCATAAAACCTCATCTACATGACCAATATTTATAGATCCATTCTGGGTCACCTGCATTTGCTGCTAAGGCTAATTCTAAGGCTGTATTATAATAATTTGTTTGTATGTTCTAAGTGCCACAATGATACATGCCTCATGTTACTCCACAAGTGCGACATACCACATTGTGAGGACTCTGTCCTCTCTTCCTTATGTGGTAGTTGCAAGCAAGCAACGATGCAGAATTTACATAGGAGATATTCAGTTACAATGCCAGTAGCATGTACACACGACATACAGCGAGCAGCCTATACCGAGCCGCTCCGCGCGTAGCCTGTTCTGCCTGGCGCGACCCGTCCAGCCCATGCGCAGCCCGATTCGCCCCGCGCACAGCCCGATCCGCCAGCTCGCGCAGCCCGTTCCGCCAGCGCGCAGCTTGCTGACGAGAAGCACGAAGTGGTCGTGAAATGCTGCTGACGATCGTCGGTAGGGCATTTTCCTCATCGAAGGCTTCACAGAGGGCATAATATAATTTCACTGATGCCTGAGGAAAAGAAGAATCTGGTCCAGTTCGTGAATTTTGCTTCCGATGGTCACGGCGAAGGTGCCTAGACAAGATGAGGTGCAGGTCTACGGTAAATGTTGCCTGAAAGACCCATGGGCTGCGAGGGAGACTTGAGAGGGTGATGTGGCACAAACTGATGTTGGGTTTATGAAGCTCAAATCAGAGAAATGTACAGTTCAGAAAGAGGTACGCTTCATAAAAATGGCAAGAAAGGAATATGCCAAACACCACTGCTTCCTCACCAAAGCCAAAGGTTGATTTCAGCTTTCAACTCGATAGAAGTTCACAGTGTAGGTTGGACGCACATGCAACATGATGTAGCAGTCAATACGCGGCGCCCGAAGTCTATACAAAACCAGTCTATGCGTACATGTCTATACTCCCCCGCCCAACCACAGCAGGACCCATCATATTCACAGAGTGTACACTGCACACACACACGCACACACTACAAGGACCACAATGCGAGCTCTTGCGGGCCCAGTAATCTGAGCCTCATGCGGGAACTTTGAGGCGCCTCAAAAGGCCTCGTGCGGGATTCTTGAGTCGCCTCAAAAGTCTACTGCGGGCCCACTAATATGAACCTCATGTGGAATTTTGCTGCTCTCCGGCTGCCGGAGAAGCCTGCTCTCCGCCTCCCGGGGGAGGCGGCGGGGGGGGCGGCGACGTTCCTATGTCCACGACTGTTACCCCCGCAACATTTCTTCCTCCGGGCATGGTCCTCCCACCGAAGTCGAGGAGCGAATCCCTGAGACTCAGACTGCGCCGACTGGAGACGAATTGCGTGTACGCTGCGCAGGGAAAGGAGTAAACGATTCTCCCTTTACTTGCTAGAAAAACATGTAGCATTTTCCCTATACGTAAGAGTTTCCAGCATACTGTCTACGGGAGTTGTGATGCTTTGGCGGGTGTTTTTGAGGAGATTTTCTCAAAAACACCCTGCTAACACCTTTGGCTGGGTAATGGCTGAAGAAAGCACGGCGAAAAGAACGCACGAATCACTTACGCTTGCAGGATCAAACAGTGACGCTGATAAAGCATCACTCCGGATGTTTGCTGGAGTGGAACATTTGTCGCACTGCTTGCTGGATACGAGCACCGCAGAACGCCAGGGGAAAGAACGCCAGATATTTAAAAAAGAACAGGATTTACCATGCTCTGGGGCGCAAAACTTACCAGGCGTGACATATGATGACGTCAGAACGAGCGCCAACAGAAGCAGCGGTAACACCACGTTTCGCGCTGTCCAAGCCATCGGGAGAATCCAGAGTCGTGAGTCGTTAATGATCTTGTGAGGAAAGCGGCTGGGGGTGAGCAGACGCAAAAATTAGAATCGCGATGAGGCTGCTGAGGGATTTGCGGGACTGCACCTCTTGAGAAACCCAGTTTAGGGTAGGCCAAGAGGGAAGAGTTTTCTGTAGTGTCGTCGGGAGGAAAGGGGGCTGGCACAAATAGTTGCTGGGAGCACTGAAGTGCTGTTCTTGGCGAGGTCAAGCGTTTTCGCCAGGTTGAACAAACGAAGAGCAGAGGAGCAGATCACTTGTGCGAAAAGCGACGACGAGTCTCGCTGACTACCTGACGAAATGGAACCCAGTTCGGCTTCGGGGACTTCGCAATTTCGATAGGCATCAGGCAAGGCGCGAAATCTGCAGGTGATGGTCATGGTGGTGCCTGGTCGAGTCGCAGATGCAAATGCTGCCAGAAAGGAAACATGAGCCGCGTAGTATGCAGAGGGAC